CTAAGACTTATATGTAAGTGGATCCTGTACACACAAGTCTTACAAGCTACACTTATACAAAATCTTAACTATTCATCTTTTTAGTTTCAATAATTGAGATTTATTATGGCTTTTTAAATAAAAAATAATAATTATCTATAATAAATATGATAAAAAAATAAATCTCAACTATAAAAAATTGAAAGATGAATTATCAAAATTTTGTGTAAATGTAGTGTTTAACACTGATGTGTAAATAGATCTTAACTCATATATATATATATATATATATATTATGAATATGATTTATTTACATACAAATCTTATATAAAATCTCAACAATTTATTTCTTTCAATAGTTGAGAGTTTATGTAAATGTAGTATGTAAGATTTGTGTATAAATAGATTTCTCCTCACATATGTGTGTGTGTGTGTTGGAATTTAAATATTTTAATAAAAAATAAAATAACATATTTTAAAAATTAAATTTATTGTTCCATTAAGGATTTGGTTAAACTAATCATTGTAGGTTGATTGTCCTACTTAAAGGCACATTATTATATAATAATTGTCCAATTTATTCCTATCATTAACTCACAAATGGGAGTTACATTACCATGAGCCCTATAAGTATGACATGTTATTTTGCCCAACAAAGGAGAAGTTCCTCCACATTCTCCTATTTTTCTTACGTACCTTATCTTCTAAATATTATTGGGTAAAAAAGGGTGTTTTGAGTTATGTGACTTTATGGGTAGTGCAAATTCATAAAGTGTTGTAATTAAACTATAGCATCTTGGGGGTGACATGCTATATGTATTTTAGCTATACTAATTGATCTACTCTCCATAGAGGTGTGAATCACCTTAAAGTAAGTAAGATTTTCACATCTATTTCGATAGTATTTTCTTATCGATATTTCTTAATAAATTCACTAATTATCATTTTATTTGATCTTGTGACTGAAACACAACAATGACATCATGTGGAGACAAAGGAGAGTGTTAAAGGGGCAACAATTTTAAGGCAAGTCAATATGTAAAACAAAATTGAAGCATGTGCCACCTTGTGTGAAAATTTGATAACACAAGTGAAAAGACTATAGAAGAAAGCTACCCAATTTGGTCCATGCAATAATTTTGAAAAAATGCACATGAAATTTGGGTTGATATATTTTGGAAATGTAAGTTAAATTTTTTAAACTTGTGTGACTGAAGAACAATTTGTGGTTATAAAATGTGAGATGAGGTAATATGCTCTTATGAAAATCTTGTGAGAAAATGAGTTTTTACATAAACTCAATTATTTGAGAAATGCGAAAATCACATATTTGGGATACTCCTAATGTGAGGGATTATGATATCCCTATGTATTATTATTGGTGCTAAGACCAATGGTGCCTAATCGAAATTTTGCACAGCATTCCTATTATACAATAAGGTATAATGGTACTTAACAAAGTAAATATGATATACACTCCTATTACACAATTATGGTATAATGGTATAAGATGAAAAAGAGTAAGGCACTTTACTCATGTAGTAGGGATATGCTATTATAGACATTCCTATTATACAGCAAAATACAATGGTGTTTGAGTTAAAAATTCTTAAATACATGTCTCTACATGTACGAAAAGAAAATGGTGGTACACTAGCTCGATTTGATATAAAAAATTGTAGTACCATGAATTGAGAATTTGAGAAATATAAATGTGAATTTTATGAGCTAGTAGACATGTGGATTGATGTGAAAAAGTGAGAAAAAGAATAAGTTGAATCTCTTTGTTACCCATTGTACCACCAAATTGGCCTTTGGTAAAAACAACAGTGGGAGGAAAAAACTATGATCATTTTCCAAGGTTGAGTGCTCATCGAGAGGATGGGATTCAAGCCCAGTAATGTAAAACTTTATATGAGGATACCCAACCCAACTTTTGAGAATTGGGTTTTGAATGGGAGAAACAAATTATAGCGAAGTTGTTGTTGAGAGATGCATCAATATTTAATAGAAAAAATTTCCAATCACATTCCTAAGGTGAGGATGCATCTATCCCATAACGAATTGAGGATTGAGTTATATACTTTTAATGAAGTTTGTAGTTCATTGAGTGGGGTGTCTTAGTTATGGGAGCATCCCTAACAAATTTCACCGATATAGGTGTCAAAGTAAGGTCGCTTTTATGAAAATTGGATGGACAATTTTTTAGATGGACAATTTTTTAGAACACCCATGAAAATCGAGATTATGCGCCAAGCCATAATGCTTCAGCTGTGTGAAAAACTCAACATTTGAATTATTATGTATGTGTGATATAATTCTTGTATCTCCCAATAGGGTCATAGTTCAAGATTTAATTCACTATTGACTTTGAATTAAGAATGGTTAACTCACTAAATAAAAGTTCAAGGTTTAGCTATCTTTATTATGCATAATAATCTAGCTTTGCCTAAAAGAAAGGTTTATTTATTTATTAAAATAGTGGAGGAATTGTTGGAACTTAAATATTTTAATAAAAAATAAAATAATATATTTATAAATCAAATTTATTGTTTCATTAAAGACTTAATCAAACTAACCGTTGTAAGTTAATTGTCATACTTAAGGGCACATTATTACATAATAATTGCTCAATTTATTCATATCATTAACGTTTAATGAATTCTATAAATAGGACATGTCATTTTGCTCAACAAACGAAAAGTTCCTCCATATTTTTATCTTCTAAATATTCTTGGGCATAGAATGGTGTTTTGAGTTATGTGACTCTATGGGTATTGTAAATTCATAGAGTGTTATTATAAAACTGTAGCATCTTGGGGGCAACATGCAATATATATCTTTGTTATAATGGTTGATCTACTCTCCACAAATGTATAAATTAGCTTAAAGTAAGTAAGTTTTTTTACGTCTATTTCGATAATATTTTCTTATCAATATTTCTTGATAAGTT